AAAAAAAAAAAAAAAAAAAAAAAAAAGTTGCACCTGGCAAAGGAGTTTAGAGCAAGAAGAGGTACTATGTATGTTGGCCAGAAAAGAAGGACCAAGAACGTATGGGTCCTCTGTTAACAAGCTGGGGGGGAACTTTTAACAGAAAATACAAAGGAAGTGGATCTACTCAACAGCTAGGGTTTTTTTTGTAAAGACTGAGGCAAAGTAAGCTGTAGCCAGATACCTAATAAGGATTATCTGTGTAAGGAAGGGGACAAGCTGAGAAAGGAGAATAACAAAGGAGACAATCAGAGAGGTTTTGATGGGTCTGAGTGAATTCAGGTTAGCAGGGCCAAATGAACTCTGTCGCAGGGTACTGCAGGCACTAGCAGAGATCCTTTGGCAGTCATCTTTATGAAGTTGTGGGAGACGGGCCAGATTCCAGAGGACTGGAAAAATGCCAATATATGTCCCCTCTTTTAAAAAGCCAAAAAGGAGTTCCTGGGGAACTACAGACTGCTTAGCCTCACCTCAGTACTTGAGAAATTCTGGGAGAATACTCTAAGAAAAGCCAGCTGCAAGCATCTGAAGGAGGAAAAGCTGATCACAAGCAGCCAACATGAATTTATGAAAAACAAATTGTGTCAAACAAACTTGATTTCCTTAACCAAGGAACTGCTGGATGGATGAAGGGAGTGGTGTGGATATAGTATATCTGGACTTCAGCAAGGCTTTTGATGAGGTGCCACATGACATTCTCACAAAGTAACTGGAGAAATGTGGGTTGGACAAAAACTACTATAAGGTGGAAAGATAACTGGCTTAATAATCTCAAGCAAAGGATAATTATCAACAGGTCAGTGTCAGAATGGCAGGAGGTATCAAGTGAAATCCCACAGAGGTCTGTCTTGGGCCCAGTGCTGTTCAGTGCAATTATTAATGATTTGGATGCTGGCATAAAAAACTTCCTGAGCAAGTCTGTAGATGATGTGAAATTGGGAAAGATTGCAAACATTGGAGGATGCAAGCACAACTGGAAGGATCTTGACAGATTGGAAAGTTAGGCTAGAGCTAACAGGATGAAATTTGATGCAGACAAAAGCAGGGTGCTACACCTTGAGGAGAACAATCAAAATCAAATATGAAATGAATGACACTTGTGTAGTTGGCAGCGCTATGGAAAAGGACTTGGAGTCTTGGTAGATACGCAAGACTCGGTATGAGTCTGCAGCACAGTGCAGCCGCATGGAGGACAAATGCAGTTTTGGGGTACCTCAATAGAAGCATTAGGTACAGGACATGGGAGGTGATAGTGCCTCTCTACTCGGCACTAGTTAGGCCTCGTCTGGAGTATTGTGTGCTGTTCTGGGTTCCACGTTTTAAAAAGGACATGGAGAAGTTAGAGAGGGTCCAGAGGTGGGCAACAAAGACAGTAAAGGGCTTGGAAAGCAAGTCGTATGAGGAGAGACTGAAGAAGCTAGTTTTGTTCAGCTTGTGGGAAGATGCTTAAGAGGGATCATGATAGCTGTCTACAAACGCTTCAAGGGCTTCCATAAAGGAGAGGGAAAGCTCCTTTTCTTTTTTGCTGCAGAAAGGAGAGCATGGACTTATGGCTTGAAGTTGCAGAAAAGTAAGGTGAGATTGGACATCTGGAAAAACTTCTTCACTGATAAAATAGTAAGTCCAGTGCAGTAGACTACGTAGGGAAGCTGTGGACTCTCCATCACTGGAGGTGTTCAAGGCAAAGGTGGACAGCCACTGGTCAGGGATGATCTAGGCGTAGCTATTCCTATATTCTACTATGGGGATTTCTCATGCTTCTGGGCTTTGCTTGTTGCCCCTACCCCATCATTTTACTACGTCAGGATGTTTTTAAGCCTCCCTCAGAGCCATTGGATATTGGCTACAGCAAAGGCTGGGGACTCTTCCTGGGGTGTGCCAGTGCTCCTGGGACCAAACCTGAGGAGGTTCCTGGCTAGAGTCTTGCTTCTCCACTAGGGGTCAGACCGATCACCATGTTTGGGGTCAGATTGGTATAGACTATGGGGTTTTTTTCTTTGTTCTGTAGCAGGGGGTGTGGCCCTTTACACCGATGTTAACAACATTTTATGGAAGCAGGATGTTGGTTGCCATGGTTTCCCTGTTTTACCTGTGGCAGGTTAGGGCATTAGGTCTGTGTTGTGTCAGGATTGATGATAGCCTGTTATGTAGAGTTTAGACTATGGTTTGTATGGGATGGTTTAGATAGGAATGATCCTGTTTCAGGCAGGGAGTTGAACTACGAGATGACCTTTGCAGGTCTCTTCCAGCCCTACTTTTCTATGATTCAAGGACCCTGTGACCACAGTTTTCATTCTCTTTCTTTTCTACCCTGTCTTTCTTAAATGATGCCTCTATTAGACCAGAAGGGCTCAGCCTTTTGGCCCTGCAAGTCCAGATTAGTGGCCCACAGTTAGTCTGTGGGCCACATGGAGCCTGTTCACCAGGATCAGGCCCTCGAGCCTGGCACTGGGGAACAGTATCAGTGCTCTCCTGCTGCCAAATTTCCAGACTGCCTGGGGAGTGTCACAGTGTGGATGACAGGTGCTGTGGGCCGGATGTGGCTCACAGGTTGAGGATTGAAAACCCCTGTGTTAAAAAAAAAAAAAAAA